AAAAATACTGACTTTCTGTGAAATAATAACTTGGTGCCTCTAAAAGGAATCAAAATTGAATTAGATAAACCATTTATCAAACCTAGCATGTCATTTCTTTAGTTCTTCTCCTTTAACATTTTCATGTATGACAACATGTTTCATTTGTTGTACATACCCAGCTTTTCAAACATCTTTTGAGTTGGAACTTCATTGGCATCCACCATAACACGTTTTTCATCTAGCATTAAGACATTCATGGAAAGCCATTTGGATGACATCCAGAGTGGATGATCTAAAAACAGCAACAACTGTTAAACCATGTCTGCTATGATTTTGGTTTAAAGCAAGATTTACAAGTGAAGAATATTAAAGTGACAGCTCAATTCTTTCAGTAGTTCACTTTCCATGTGAACGCTTATTTTAATCTTAAAACAATTTATCTATAAATGGTATGAATCAATCTGTACTCATTATACATTTGAATTTCACCCTGTTTTCTTTTAAAAGTCGTATCTTGGCTGGGCATGGTATAATCCTAGCACTTTGGGAGGCTGAGGCAGGAGGATTCTTTGAGCCCAAGAGTTTGAGACTATTGCCCAGAGATGGTGTCTCACTGGGGAACACAGCAAGACACTATCTCTACAAACAAACAAACAAAAAATAACTTGCTGGGCATAGTGGCCTGCACTTACAGTCCCAGCTACTTAGAAAGCTGAATTGGAAAGATCACTTGAGCCCAGGAGTCTGAGGCTGCAGTGAGCTGTGAATGCACAACTGCACTTAAGCCTGGGCGACAGAGCAAGACACAGTCTCAAAAAAAAAAAAGTCATATCTTGCTTTATGTGATGTTGTCTTATTCTGTCTTCTCCTCATTTCATTTTCTATGGAAGAAAAAGTTGCAAACACAAGTCTCAGCCTTTTTCTGATGCTCAGAGTCCCAAGCACCACTTTATACCTTACTGAGGAAACACATTCTCTAAGCTGCTAACATCGGGCTCCTCTCTATAGGCAAAAGATCCTTGGTCACTGAAGTCATTATTTTAGTCTATCAGTGTATGAAAGTAAACATACCGTCTGGGATGATTGGTGTTGGAGGAGTAATGATAGTCCATCCTGCTTTCTTGAAAAGATCAATCTGTAAGACCGAAAAAACCCCCCAAAACTGTTAAATTAACATATACTATTATTATTCTTAGTCTCTAATAACCCTTATCATTAATAATTCTTTTTGAGAAGCTGTCTTCTCAGCTTCCAAAATAAAGAAATTAAAATTTCTAAACATTTGGGTGATTTTGTCTGAATCCTAATTAAAAATGTACATAAAATCCCCAGATTAAAGTTAAAAAGTAACAGAAATATTGAAGCTTTTAAAGACAGTCTTATACTTTTCTCTGGTTTCAGAGTCTTAAAAAACCAAAGATACTTTCCTTAGAAATTCTCATTTTAAAAATTGAAAAATTTCCTATTTAGTTACAAGAAAACAAAAATGTGACTACGTCAAACCCACAGTCCTTCTACTTCTTGTCCATCATTTTGTATCTAGGACCATGGTATAAAGACAGATGTTAGCTATGCATTCTCAAAGAACCATATTGTCCTTAGTGACCTTTTGCAACTCAGCCATCCCTGTGTTCACATACCCACTAACTATATGAATAAATGATAGTAAAATGAAATGAATAAGTAGTCATGGTCATCGGGTCTAAAAATAAAAAACAGAAATGAACAGTGACACAGCATAACAGTGGTTTTTAAAAGTTGTACTGCAATCTTGCAAATAACAGAAGATCACTCATCACCTAACTAGAAGTAGGGGGCTGTGGACAGAAAGTAGGAGGCTGCAGGTGAAAGGGATAGACCAGCTGCAGTTCAGTGGCTCTGCTTCTCCCTACCAAGCAGGGTTGGCCAAAGGGAGCCTAACCCACTGGAGAGGGAAGACAAGCACTGTCCAGTGGCATTGCCCTGCCCATGCAAGGATCATCTTGTCTAAAATTTGCTGCTGTGGAACCACTGTTGCAAGTTATGAGATAATGTCACCCTGTTTGATAAAAATACACACATATGCGCAAATCTGAGACTTTGACAACAGCAAGCAGCCAAAGTCTGATGATCCCATACTAATTATTGTGTCAACTACGTATATTTCTGCATGGCGGACATCTTGTAATAAACCATAAGGAATCCAATGTTTGATCATAATAATGTTGAGTACTGCTGAATCTGTCATTCAGAACCATTAGGAACCATGGAAGTGCTTAAAATAAAAGTGTCAATTATTTTAGTTACTAGATTCTGTTGCTTTTCCAGAGTCCTGAGAAATCTCTTACCTGGTGACATGGTCGGTCAGGGTTGGAAAGCACAGTACCAGGTCCAATGATGTTGAAGGTAGCATCAATATGCATGGGATTGGGATCTTTAAAGGAGATGATATGTACTCTGTAATCTGGAGCAAGATGCCTACGCATCCATTCAATGCCTAGGTAGTTTGTAACCTGAAAACAAAAGAAAGACATACAATCAACAAATATTTGGTTCTGTGTCTAGAAAACTAAAAATATTCAAGGTGAAAACAATTTAGGATGAAAATATTTTAATTTGGAAGTAAAGAATACAATAATATAGTGTGAAATTTCAGAGGCAGCCTGTGTTTACCTGGCTTCTCTGTGCAAAAATATCTTTTCCAGCTCGAATGAAGTCAGCAGCATCAAAGCATGGCTCAAACTCAGTTGTCACAAATTTTCCCTGAGCAGCCAATTTGTGTCTGTCTTCTACAGAGTGGATGGGATAATCCTAATTGGAACAAGAATGAACACAAACAATGCATTGGATCATGAGAAAACTATTTATAAGGCATACAGTACTAAGAAAATTAGTTTAACATCATTTTCCAAAATATTACTACTCAGTTCTAGACTAAAACATGCCTGGGAAAGAAGCGGGTCCATGATAAATAAACCAAAACAACAATAAAACAACAAACTAGCATTACAGTAATTTCCTGATACAGTAGTCCTCCTTTACCCATGATTTCACTTTCCATGGTTTCAGTTACCTGCCGTCAACTGTTGTTCCAAAACATTATTTTAAGAGAAACAGAGACCACATTCACCTAACTTTTAGTAAAGTATATTTATATAATTGTTCCATTTTCTTATTCATTATTGTTGTTAGTCTTACTGTGCCTAATTTGTAAATTCAACTTCATCATAGGTATGTATATATGTATAGGAAAAAACAAAATATATAGAGTTCAGTATCAGCATCCACTGAGAGTCTGAACGTGTCCCCTAAGGATGAGGGGGCACGATGTACTTAGAAAAAAATGGTACATGCCAGGTGAGACAGCTCATGCCTGTAATCCCAGCACTTTGGGAGGCCAAAGTGGGCAGATCACCTGAGGTCAGGAGTTCGAGACCAGCCTGACCAACGTGGTGAAATCCCGTTTCTACTAAAAATACAAAAATTAGTCAGGCATAGTGGCATGTACCTGTCATCACAGCTACCCAGGAGGCTGAGGCAGGAGAATTGCTGGAACCTGGGAGGTAGAGGCTGCAGTGAGCTGAGATCATGCCACTGCACTCCAGTCTGGGCAACAGAGCAAGGCTCTGTCTCAAAAAAAAAAAAAAAAAAAAAAGGGATACAGAGGCAGTAACTGATTCTGAGAATATTCCATGACCCGTACGGAAAGTAAACAGGATGAAGTCATTCTGTTCTTTTAGAAAAGGAATTTGGTCCCGAGCCTAACTCATACCATAAAATGAGATGCCATGTTTCCCCTGCCAAATTTGATTGGGAGTGGCCAAACTAATTCATTATTTCTGTCTTTAAACCCAGAAGCTATTTTGATTTTCAGTTTTTTTTCTATAAAAGATCAAATGGTAACTGATTTAATAAGGGACATACATTTCATTTTACTGTGAATTTGGACTGTAGACCAGGTTCTTTTTCTAGAAGAAGAAAAGTGAACTTCAGTCTAGTGACTTTTCCGGTTCCACTAATGAATAGTGGTACACCTGTAGGCAAGTTTTTCCCCCTCTAATGGAATGATACCACAGTATCATTAGGGTTGTTGTGAAAAACAAACAGGATTGAGGATGTAAATAAAGGGTTTAACCCAGGACCCAGAAGAAGGTAAGCACCAAAAAGTGTTAGCGATTATTTACTATCATAGGATCATTTACTCTTATCATATTCATCATAAAATAATCACTTTTTAAAAATAAGATGATGTTTTCTCTTTCTAAAATGCATAATATGTAAAAGGTATCAGAGAATCTCTATCTTACTCTTTGTAGATCAGTTAGAAAAGTTAGTAATAAGCTAGCCTATTATTAGGGACTCACCCGGTCATAAAGCTCATCAGCCATTGTGGGCTTAGGAGCTGTTGTCCACTTGGCGCCACGGTGGAAGTAGTCTTTGATAATTGACCTGTACGCTCGGTACTCAAAGAAGCGTGAACGCCATGCCATGGGAGCCTCGATAATCTCATTGCCCACAACTATCAGGATGTCTCGAGGCATTGCACTGTATAAACCTGTCAGACCAAAAAATTCCATGACAACTTCAGCAGTGTTAATTTCCAAGACAAAAAAGGTCTATATAGGGCTAGGCGCAGTGGTTCATGCCTGTAATCCCAGCACTTTGGGAGGCCAAGATGGGCGGATCACTTGATCCTGACCGGGCTGGTCAGGAGTTCAAGAGCTGCATGGCCAACATGGTCAAGCCCCGTCTCTACTAAAAGAATACAAAAAAAATTAGCCAGGCATGGTGGCATGTGCCTGTAATCCTAGCTACTCGGGAGACTGAGGCAGGAGAATCACTTGAACCAGGAAGCCAAGGCTGCAGTGAGCGGAGATTGTACCACTGCACTCCAGCCTGGGCAACAGAGTGAGATTCTGTCTCAAAAAAAAAAAAGTCTATATAATATGACCTCTTCTTTTGGTTAAAAAAACTAGTAAAAATACATGTGTATATGTATATATGAAAATGGCAAAAAATTTGAATAATACATACTAGATTGTTCACATGAATTCTGTGTGGTGGTAAGGAAGCCAAGAAAAAAAAGAAAAGAAAAAAAGTGAAGGAATAAAGTCTTTGTACAAAGAGATGTTGAACCACCAAGCTTTCACCATTTGTAAGCTCCTTTCTTGCTATACAGAAACAGAGCTCTTAAAGGACCATCAGCATCACAAGATAAAAACTGAGCCAAGGATCAATCTAAAACTAGAAATTAGAACAGTGACCTAAGGCACAAGAACAGTCATGCAGCAATGTCAGTTAAAAATAAAATGGAAATGTTTCTATTCCCCTTTTAATTTCTGTTCTTGAGGAAAATTAAATGAATCCACTGTTCTTATGTAAGGAAATGACTATAAAGTTTAGGAAAATTTGTTATTTCACGAAGATTCCACTAGATGGAATGGAGTTTAGAATGTATACATCTTAATCATATCAACATGGACCAAACCATTCCTAAATAAATCTTTAAAGTTTTCAAGAACTAGCAAAGCAAAGGACTCTCCAAGAAATTTTTTGGAGCTTTCCCCCGACACATTAAGAAAGACACTGAAAATTCAGACACTGGCAGTTTAGTTATCTGACATCACTTACCCGTAGACTCAAAATCAGGAGTTTTATACTTCAATGACCAGTCAATGGGGTCAGGCCTCCTCACTGTCACTCCTTCCATTTTTAAAATATTGCACATTTCTTCAATTTCAGTAACAGCCTTTTTCAAATGATCTTTGGGAAAATAATGCCCTCCATGCTTCTGGTAAAATGGCCAGTACTTTTCATATGTGTTGGCCTGGAAGTAGAAGCAAATAAACCCAATACTTACAGGAGAAAAATACAGCTCATGATAGGTTTATAGGCAGTAAACAGCTCTTTGTATAAGGTATTGGAATTGAGACTCCAACCACGCCACGTTCAGTGCTGATTCCTAGCATTGAGCACAGATGCTCTCTGGGCAGACACTCAGTATCTGTTGAATGAAGAACTCTAAAACATCTTGATGTTTTGAGGTCTTTTGCTCCTTCTGCCTGAGATCTCATGCCCAACCACTAACAGCATGTTTACCTTCAGACAGGCTTGGAATCCTCTTGGCCAGTTTTTTTTTTTTGCCACACTTTGCAGACAAAACAGGACATAGCACTTCTACCAGAGAGCCTCAATAAAACGGAACAAGAGAACACACAAACTAGCATAAGAGAATAAAAGCACTTATACTAAGCCAAAACCATGGGTTATCCATGCATCTCAGAATTCTGTCTGGAAAATAGCACCTCAAGATATTTTGTGAAGGGAAAAAAAGATATTTAGACCCTGTTAAGATCAGGAATATACTTTCAAATATGCTTTATTTATCTTTAAACCCCATCATTGGTCAGGCATAGTGGCTCAGCCTGTAATCCCAGCACTTTGGGAGGCCGAGGCGGGCAGGTAGCTTGAGGTCAGGAGTTCGAGACCAGCCTGGCCAACATGGCGAAATCCCATTTCTACTAAAAATTCAAAAATTAGCCAGGCCTGGTGGCATGTGCCTATAGTCACAGCTACTTCAGAGGCCAAGGCAGGAGAACTGCTTGAACACAGGAGGCAGAGGTTGCAGTGAGCTGAGATCGTGCCACAGCACTCCAGCCTGGGCAACAGAGCGAGACTCTGTCTCAAAAAAAGAAAGGAAAAGAAAAGAAAAGAAAGAAGGAAGGAAGGAAAGAAAAGGAAGGAAGGAAGGAAGGAAAGAAAGGAAGGAAGGAAAAGAAAAGAAAAGAAAAGAAAAGAAAAGAAAGACAGACAACAAAAAAACCATTATTGATTTTCCCGTTCAACAGAATTAACACTTGCCAAAATTGTGTAACAGTGCAAATATGCCTTTGGTAATTCCCTGTCAAAATGCCTCACACCAACCACACCTCTCCTTTTTCTAATCCATTCAGCTCTTACATCTTTTCGAGTCTTTTTGTCATAGAAGAAAGTGATATGATAAGCAAATTCACAAATTTTTAATAACTGAAAAAAAAATTTAGAAAGTTTCCAGGGCTATATGTATTTTAGAAGACTACCAAAGAGAAAACATTTGAATGCTTTAAAATGGCTCAATCAGTTTGCTAAAAATTATTGTTGAATAGGGTAGGTGCAACAGCTCTAAAATATTGTTTTGTTTTGTTTGAGATGGCGTCTCACTCTGTTGCCCAGGCAGGAGTGCAGTGGTACTGCACCCTCAGCTCACTGCACCCTCCGCCTCCCACCAGGTTCAAATGTTTCTCCTGCCTCAGCTTCCTGAGTAGCTGGGATTACAGGTGCAGGCCACCACACCCGGCTAATTTTTTGTATTTTTAGTAGAGACAGGGTTTCACCATGTTGGCCAGGCTGGTCTTGAACTCCTGACCTCGTGATCCACCTGCCTGAGCCTCCCAAAGCGCTGGGATTACAGGTGTGAGCCACTGTGCCCGGCCAAAATATTGGTTTTCAAACATGTAAAAATCTAGACATATTCTGCATTCAGATTGTTTTCCAAATGTCTAAGTTCTCAGTCAATTTGCATAAATACATTGGGAAATGTACATGATGCATCTTCCCATTTTTCAAGCTACAGGAAGCAGAACTCCAATCAGAGAATCCAGACTCTAAGAAAAAGTCTTGAACCTTCATCAAAAGATTAGCAACGCAATGTACATTGATATATTTTAAGTTTAAAAATGTTTTAAATGTTTTAATTTAAATTTTTGTTTAAAAATGTTTAAAGCAGGTATTTTTAAAATGTTTATTTATATAATTGATGAACTGACCAACTATTAGTCCTGACCATGTCAGATATGAGGGTCTCCACCATCAATCAGATAATTAGGGTTATCAATAAGTACTAGAAAGAAGGTGTAAAACTTGGTAATGGGCTCAAGTGTGTCAGAATGTGTCTACTTTAGCTGGATATTCTCATTTGGTTTCCCAGCAATCCTATCAAAGAAACAGGGCAAGCTCTCATATGCTTATTTCACATGTAAGGAAAGAGGCTCTGGCTGGTCACATGCTTGCCAACTATCTGGACAAGCAGGACTAGAACTCAAGTTCTCTGACTGTTACTTGAAGAGTGTCCCTAATACATCATGGGACTTGCATGTTATACTGGTTTGAACACTTCTAACTAGATGTGCAAAAACTTTTAAGACTGGAATTGCTTAACAAGTTCAAACTGTCCCAATGGCTTTTACTCATCAAGACTGACCAAATGTCTAGATATTTAGCTCTTTAATGTCAAAGACAGTATCTTTTCTAGATTTTGTGTCTCTACTTCCATTTTTATCTCAGTCTGATAAATATCAAATATATGAAAGTGGACCCATCTCTTTTAGTTCAATATCCAAGTTCACATCAGTTACACTGGAACCCAGATTGGTGAATAAGGAGTAAGCCAAGAAACAGGTCTTTAGAAAAACTGAATGATGCCAGTGAAACTCGTAGAGGCTGGTAAACAAATGTCCATAGTCAAATTTGGCCTACTGCTTGTTTTTGTAAATAAAGTTTTATGGGAATGCAGGCACATTCATTTGTTTACATATTGTCTATGACTGCTTTTGCACTACAATGGCACAGCTGAGAGCTGAGTAGTTCAACAGAGACCGATGGTCTGCAAAGCCTAAATTACTTATTATCTGGTACAAAGATGAAGTTTGCTGACGCCTGGGGTCTGAATCATTAATTAGCTTTTACTAAGGTCTATAGGCAAACAGCAGGCTGAATTTCTGGCCTATGAAAAATGTTATCAGCATTAAACATTTTATAAGACCAAGCTACCCTTTCAAAAAACAAAATAAAAGCACTCCACTGTTTTCTACTCCTAGGAATTTCTGCAACAGCAACCAGAAAGAGGATAATAATGACTCTTTATATTCCTCTCAGATACACGCTGGTACTACTCATCCATTCACCACTTCCTCCTTCTCATGCCAGGCACATCTCCTACAATCCACTAGGGACAAGAAGCCTTTGAAAATTTAACACTGGGTTACAGGAGATGCAGAGTTATGCAGTCTCACTAGACTCATTCCAAAGTATCCTCCGTGACTATTTGTGCAGAGTGAAACTTGCTTTGATAAATTAAACTTTCCTGGGAGAAAAAGGTTATTTGAACAAATGTGAATTTTTCTTGTAGAGTTTATAATCTGGCAAAGGTTGGGCAAAGTACAAATGATCAGGGCACAATACATTTTACAAGAGATAGCTAGAAATTGTTTACACTTCCTTTATAACCCTGCTAAATGAGCTAGCAATCATTTACCAAGTTGTCTGCAAGATAATGAACACTATATTAGATACTTAGCATATGATGTTTATAATAATCTGTTGCAAAGGTATGTCTGCATTCCTTGAACCTTTATACTCTTTCAAAGCCTAAAACCCTTTGCAACGGTTTGCCAAGTGAATTTTTAAATACTGTCTTTGGAAGGCTAAGAAATGACAACAGAAATGTATTTATCCAGCTGTAAGCTTATATTACACTAATCTTGATTAATCTTGTATTTTATAAAAGGTCCTTTATTAAGGGCTTTACTTTTAAAAAGACAAAAGCAAAGCAAAAAACATATTTGAGGCTGGGCACGGTGGCTCACCCCTGTAATCCCAGCACTTTGGGAGGCCAAGGCGGGCAGATCACGAGGTCAGGAGATAGAGACCATCCTGGCTAACATGGTGAAACCCTGTCTCTACTAAACATACAAAAAAAAATTAGCCAGGTCTGGTGGTGGGCACCTGTAGTCCCAGCTACTCAGGAGGCTAAGGCAGGAGAATGGTGTGAACCTGGGAGGCGGAGCTTGCAGTGAGCCAAGATTGCGCCACTGCACTCCAGTCTGGGCGACAGAGCAAGACTCTGTCTCAAAAAAAAAAAAAAAAAAAAAAAATTGATAGCAAATATTTACCATATTTTGCAGAACAAAAAGTCACAGAGCTTTAAAAAATTATGCTTCCTAACAATTATGCTCCACATTCCTTTCCTTAAAATTTCTCTAGTACTTATATCTTCCAACATCTTCTGCTCTGATTGCCTATAGACAGTTTACTACATTATTTTTTTTTTATTATTCCTAAACTGATTAATATATGTCATTCTTCTTTACTACAAGGCACGGCCTTGCCTGCTAGGATCCATGCATATCTTGGATTTACTTTCTTGTCCCTCAAAACCAGGCTTAGCACATGGCATGAAACAGAAATAACCGTTATTTCCTGTCTAGAATCAAAGAGAGAAAGAGAAAGAGAGAAGAATAAACAAACAAAAAGAACCAGACAAATGAATGAAATCAACACTGCTAATGTTACTGGTATATACAACTATTATACCCCCAAAGTACCTTTGGAATGTAATTGGCAAACTGGATCCATACAACTATAATAAGTTGTTGTTTTGTTCTTTAAAATACTTAACATGTAATCTTTTACCTTTAGATTAATCCTTAATTCTGTTAGGTAGATAGCAAACCTCTTAGTATCTTCATTTTACAGTGGCCCAGAAAGCTGTGGAATCTTGTACAAGGTCAAATAACTGATTAACCGAGACTAGCTATCAAGCTTTTATCAAATACCTAATTAATCCCAGACTCCCGACTTCAGCATAGTACATTTTCCACAAGCCCATGAAATGACTAAGTCTAAAGTCATAAATCAAGTGACAAAGAACTCAAAATTATGTCTGAGAATTCTGATTCTGTAAAATCACATGATATGAAAGTCTATCATTGTAAAGACAAGTAGAAGGATAAATTATTGCTTGGATTTAAATTGTAATTCCACCCAATTAAAATGGTTAGGCGATGGGACTTTTCAAGGAAAGACTTAAGAAGACTATGCCTTTTAAAAACATGTGGATGGTGTATAAATTAATCTTCTCACCAAATTCCAAATATCAGAACCAAAGACAATTTCAGAACAATTAGAAGTTATTACTTTTTCTATTTCCCTGTCTTCCTGGTCTAACTCAGGAGTCATTTTCTTCAAGAGGACTTCTTAACTGGCCAGAACTTGGTCACTTCTCTTTCCTTAGCTTTCCTGACACTTCAACTGCCTTGTCAGTCGATTGGAATAAGATACTTGGTCTTCGTTTCTATGTGGACATCATATTTCTTCAAATAGAAAGGAAGATCTTTTACATTAATACCTCTAGAGCCCTGGTACATCGTAGGCAATATTTCTGAAGACCACGAAAATGCTGTTACAGAACTTCTTTCCTCAGTCCACTTTACAAATAAAAGTGTAAATATTCAGGAAAAATTTAAGGACATTAGAGATAGATTTGTAACCCATTATTAATAGGAGTCTAGGCTGTGTCTACAATGTGGATGGTGGTCCCTTAGATATGGGACCCTTATGCAGTACAGAACCTGAACACCAGCCCACAGAGGCCCTGGACATAAGAATATTACAGATGAAAACCACTAGGAGTTTTTGTTTGTTTGTTTGTTTTTGAGACGGAGTCTCGTTCTGTTGCCCAGGCTGGAGTGCAGTGGTGCAATCTCGGCTCACTGCCTCCTGGGTTCACGCCATTCTCCTGACTCAGCCTCCCGAGTAGCTGGGACTACAGGCGCCTGCCACCATGCCCAGCTAATTTTTGTATTTTTAGTGGAGACGGGCTTTCACCATGTTAGCTAGGATGTTCTCAATCTCCTGACCTTGTGATCCTCCCACCTCAGCCTCCCAAAGTGTTGGGATTACAAGTGTGAGCCACAGTGCCTGGCCACCACTAGGAGTTTTTAAAAAGGGAGATGTTACTTGTTGCCAGGGAAATTCTGGAACACTTTGTGAAAGGTGTCATTGAAGCTAGGTGGTAGTAGGTTTAAACTACCTAGTTTAAACAGACTAAAGGGCACAGGAAGATGGGTGGAAGAGACTTAGGTAGGGGCAAAGATGCAGGGCTTGTGAAGAAACAGTGAGTAGTCTAGTTTAGCTGCCTTATATGGTTGTCTTATAAAGTCTGCTGAAAACCAGGGTGGGATATTAGAGGAGAGAGGGACTTGACCAGAAATGAACACTGCTAATCTGCTGTACTAACAGATGAGTCAATAACTGGAATGGGGAATCCTGGAAATGCAGACAAGAGCCAGAGGGAAGGATGTTGAATACCATGAGGACTTTATCCTGAGCAATTCGGGGTGGGGGTGGGGAGGGGGTTGGCTACCAAAGTAGAGGAGGAAAAGAAGCAGGATGAGAAACATGATCACATTTGAGTTTTAAAAAATCACTTGGATTGCAGCTGCAAGGTGGTTTGGTAAGAAGAGTGAGTAGCAGTGACCAGTTAGGAGTTAACTGCAATAGTCCAGACAGCAGATGAGCGCCCAACCATTAGGAAGAGGCAAAGCAGAGGGATGAGGCAAGATTCATTTTGACAAAAGCCTTGTTAAACCTTGGAGAATGGATGTGGAGGACGCCACATAAGGAGAAATCAAAGATGATTCTTTTATGTTTTAGCTTGATTAAATAGGAATGCCAATAATTAAAAGGAAGGAATGAGAAGGGGTCCACTTTAGCAGGGTGGCTGGCAACTGAACTCCAGATGTGCCAAGTTTGAAGTCATGTGGCAATATGCCATAAGGAGTTTAACTTGTTGATCTGGAAGGAGTTCAATACAGAGATACGGACCAGAGAGGAGGTGGGAGGGGCAGCTGTGAGAATGGCTAAGAGAAGGGGGCTGAAAGTAATATTCTATTCAACCTTGGCATTACAGGCTGTGACGGAAGAAGATCTGAGGAGAAGAGAAAGAACTATTATTCCCAGAAAAGCTCTCTTAGATTCCAAGGGGAAGAGTTTCAGGAAGGAAGCAATTATCACTGGTGTCAACAGTGTCAAATACCACAGAGGTGTCAGGTAAGATAACTTAGAGTTAGTCACTGCATTGACAGGTCTGAGAGTAAACTGAAGGGAAAGCAGGCAGAGGGTAGCAGCAGCAGGTGAGGAGGGAACGCACTTTCAGACATGTGAACAGCCTTTACCTTCACCTCGATGGTGAACGGCGGAACACAGGCATTTTCTGCTCTGCCCACTATCACTTCCTCTAAGGGGTCCCATTCGTTGTAAGAAGAGACAGGGCAGTCCTTGGGCAGAGGTTCAGTGGCCTTGTCGTCAGCTGCAAAGGAGTTCCGGGAGGAAGCCGTAGCTGCCTGGGTGCTCTGGAAAGTTCGCTGCACCCATCCCGTCAAGGTTCGTCCAAGCTTCCAAGAACAAAGAAAACATTATTGTATTGCATTGCTCTATCAGTACTTGCAGAGAGAAGGAAGTGGAGATGGGGTAAAAATCCAGCATAACATTGCCACTTAAACCCCTTTAGAAGAGCGTAAACCAAGATGTTAACAATGTGTAGGTGGGTAGTGGGATTACAGATAATTTTTTTAACCCTCTTGTTTATCTACAAATTGTCTTATCTATTAATTGCTGTAACTCTTTAAAACTCCTCAGAAGACCGTGTCCCCAGCGACCATACACCCCCATCTTTATCTCAGAATGCAATTCCTGCACTCAAGCTTTAAGCAACTCTTTTGCAGATGGGTCAATCCTCCTCTCAGAAAACCACAGACAGCTGCTCTAAAACTTCCCGCCAGTCCCAGCTGAGGATGGAACCTCCTTTTCCCTCAAGTATCAAAGGTTACCAATATTAGGCATTTTATTTTATTTAATTTTATTTTATTTTATTTTATTTTATCTTTACAAATGAAAAGGTGGAAACATTTGTAAAGGACCGTATCTTTCAGAATAGCCAGCTTCAAATCAAATTTTTTTCATCTTTGACATACACTTCGCATTCTTTGGCACTTCAATTCTAAGAGTGAGCAACTGCCATCTGCTCCATTTTACAGATGGTCCACAGTACCCTAGCCAAGATCAGGATTAGCCCAGGCGTAAATTCAAACAACTAAAAAGGAGATCTAAAAACTTCAAAAGCCTTTAAAAAATGCATGGCCTATAAAATCTAGAGCAGGGAGGGTCCCTCAACCCCTGAGTAAACCTCAACCCCCCAAATCTCTATCCTGCTCTGTTAAAAGCCTTAGGAAGTGGGCAGGAGGGGAACTCGGGTGGAGGCAGAAGCAAGACGGAGAGTGGCAGCTGTTCAGGAACCAGTTGCTGGGGGGAAGCCAGAATGTCGGAGCGATTCCAGTCCTAGGAGCAAGGGTCTGCCGCCAGGGCAGCCGAAGGCGGGGAGCGCAGAAACTCTGCTTACGGGCTGCACTCGCCAGACTCCTCTCCAGACGTGGGACCGCATATTATACTTGGAGTGAATCTGGTCGCTCGCTCCCCGTCCCTGATTCCCACTTTGCTTGTCTCTTCTCCCCATCCATCCACCCCACACGCATTTTCCAGAAATCTCCCCCAACTCGATGCCCACTTAGGCTACTGAACCCCAATAACGCCACCCTTTTACTAAGAGGAGCCTCCGTCATCCCAGCCCCTTGCTCCGAGCGGGAAGCTTGGTGCAGCGCACCAAGGTCCGGTAGAGGACCGTGGGCCAGCAGGCCGCAGACGCGGAGACAGCAAGTGGACCCCAAGGGGTGGAGCCGCAACGCAAGTTCCCCCCGACCCGGGGACGCCGCCCAGCTCCTGGAGCCTGCAAAGGCTCTTGAAGCTGAGCTTCCCAGAGATACCAGAAGGGACACTCTCGTGCAATTCTGGCTGGGGAAAGCGAGGGAAGGCGGCGGCTCTGTGGAGGGAGCGAGCGGGTGCTCCACGCCACCCTCAAGACCGAGTGAGTCACGCGGCCGCCAGACGAGGCCGGTGGCGCACGCACCCGAGACCCGATGTAGTGCACCGCCTCGGCGCCGCGGCTCCCGCCGCGCAGACACCGCACCCGCAGCATCGCCCCGACCCGGCTGGTCCACGCACGGAATGTTCCTGGCCTGGGCCGCGTCGGTCCAAGCCTCCCCGAGAGCGCGCCCGGAGCGTGATGGGCGGGTGCGCTGGGCCCGCGGCCTTTTGTAGCCGCGCTCCGCCCCGGCCGCCCCCCGCGGCCCCATTGGCTGCCGGGAACAGGTGGTGGGGCCAGCAGAGCGCCCCGAATTAGGAACTGTTGGGAGGCGCCGTGGCCGCTGGCTCGAGCCTCCGACGCTTGCCCTTTTTTAGCCAGCGGGGCCACTGACGTCTTCTGTTGCACGCCCGGACCTGGACCCCGACCCGAGCGCCGCAAGAAGGCCCGCTGGAGTCTCGCGCACCTGGGCAGGACGCGACTTCCGACGACGTGACAATGGTCTATGCATATATTAAGTGAATATTTGAGCATTTAAATGTGCAGAGCGTGAGTACAGTGTTACATACGAGCACGGACCCAGTCACCTCATTTTTCGGTAAACGAAACCACCTAAAAATTAGGTGGTTTCTTAGTGCAACATCGGGTGTGAGACTGCAGAAAACTAAGTCTGGAAGTTGGGCCATTTGCTCCCCGGGGAGGTAGTGCTTTCCTTCCACTACCCCGTCGGGTGTTATTTGGAACACCTGGCATTTCACATGGTTTTTGGCCATGTGCCCCTGGCTTGAGAAACTCCGATATGAAAATCGATAAGTGTGGGTCACAAATAAGGAAGGACGGCAGTTTCGTTCCTTCCATTTCATGTTTTAAATTTTTTGTTTCAACTTGATTAGGATTGTTTTTTAGAAAAGTATTTTCCCTCACTGTGCAGTCTTAATTGCTGTGGATTTGTGCAAAGCTAGAGAACTCAGGTTAACATTTATCTCCTAGTAGGAAAGGAGGCAAGAGATTTGAGTATTTCATTTTTGTACTTACAGAGTTGTAACTATTCATTTTTGATGAGCTATCTTTTTAATTTTGGTATCTCAAGCTTGTTTTCCAGAGTTCATGGATGGAAAGCAACAGACAAGCAGATGGCATGGTAGAAAGAGCCTCCGAGAGGGAATCAGGATAACTGAGTTCCAGTCTTGACTCAGTTATAGACTACTGTGTGTCTTCTTGAATTGCAGTCTTCTTATCTGCAAAGTGAGAATAGAATTTACTGTCCCTAGCACATGGGGGGTTGCTGAGGGGCCAAAATGAGAAACTATACATGCAGAACTTGATGCGTGGCATTAGAGCCGTATGAGGCCGGGTGCAGTGGCTCACGCTTGTAATCCCAACAATTTGGGTGGCCGAGGCGGGCGGAACGCCTGAGGTCAGGAGTTTGAGACTATCCTGGCCAACATGATGAAACCCTGTCTCTACTAAAAATACAAAAACTAGGCCGGGCGTGGTGGCTCATGTTTGTAATCCCAGCACTTTGCGAGGCCGAGGTGGGCAGATCACGAGGTCAGGAGATCGAGACCATCCTGGCTAACACGGTGAAACCCTGTCTCTGCTAAAAATACAAAAAAAAAAAAAAAAAAAATTAGCCGGGCGTGGTGGCGGGCACCTGTAGTCCCAGCTACTTGGGAGGCTGAATTAGGAGAATGGCGTGAACCTGGGAGGCGGAGCTTGCAGGGAGCCGAGATCGCCCCACTGTACTCCAACCGCCTGGGCGACAGAGCTAGACTCCGTCTCAAAAAAAAAAAAATTAGCCGAGCATGGTGGTGGGTGCCTGTAATTCCAGCTACTGAGCTGAGATGGAGCCACTACACTCCAGCCTGGGTGACAGAGCAAGACTCCATCTGCGGGGGGGGGAAGCTATATGAGGTAATGTGTTACTACTCTAGCAATAAGGAGGCCCCCAAATGCCATAATATGGTGAAAGGAGTAAGTCTAAGTTCATAACTTAATTCTGCCACTAATTTGCTGTGTGACCTGGAACCAGATCCCTTTATCTTTCCAATCAAGGCTTCATACTTCTAGTGAGGTTTTAAGAAATCTCTAACATTTCTCAAAATTTTAAAAGTACTTTCTCCCAACAATAAAATGCAGCCACCTCTCAGGTCTGATTCTCTTAGTGTACTGAGGGCAGCCAGATATGTGCTTCTCCTCAAAAGAACTGAAGGGTACAGTAAGTACACATAACAAGGCCTTGAGATTACCATTTCTGCTTGAGATTGGAGGACATCCTCTTGCCACCCATTAAAAGCACTATTTTAATTTTGCAGATGTAAGAATTGGGGGTGCCTGGTAATAATGAAGTTACGATGTTAAGTTTTACATAATGAAAAACTCATAGCCAAAGAGTATACCCTTATCTCCTGGGATCCAGCAGAAAGTGTGTGGATAGCGCCACCCAAACCAGTCCTGCTGTTATAAAAGCAAATCAAAGTGCTCACTCCTCCTTTTTGCCATGCCTCTCATTTATTTTCATTCTTTGTCCTTTTTCCCCTTTTATACCACACTTTTTTTCATTTACTACAATTCTATTTTTTCATTCTCTTTTATGTTCTGTTTTTGAAAAAAATTCTGTAACAACTTCTAGAATGACCTTATCAATTTAAAGTACAAGCTTTCCATACTAGTTTGTCTAATACTGGGCCAACTCTGCAAAGTATCTATATAGTGATAGTTGGCAACTCTGTGGTCTTTAGTTGCTGTCTTATTCAGAAGAAATGGAATAGACTGTGAAGTCCTGTCTTGCCTTCCCCTATTGGCAGTAGATACCATCAATAACTTTGATTGAACCAATAATTTTAGGATCTTGCTAGTCTCATACCTAGTTATTATGCATATTCAAGTCTAATAGTAGTGCATCTTTGTAGCTTAACTTAAAGGCATAATGTAGGATAGTGTGTGTGTAAAGGGGTCTAAAAGGACAAGGAATAGAAAACACACCAGAAGCATGGCAAAAATTCAGCTTTTCAATTCTCCCTCATCACCGTTGCTTTGGGGATATGCCCAACTCTCCCTAGTTCCAACCAAAAAAGCACAGAGTTTTTGAAATGTGTCTTGAGATTAAAATAAAACAAAAAAAGCCAGTAAAGTCATTGGATTAACAAAATAAACAACAAAAGAGCCCGTTATAAGAATTCACCATTTCTTTATCATGGTTGACTTCAGAATCTGTACATAGGGTGTAAACAAGTACAGAGGAAGGTGCTCCTAGAACTTAAGAATACAGATACTCTGTGAAATTGGTAAGCACACACATATACACACAGATACACTGGATGAGATTAGCTATCTACAGAAGTCACCTATTCTAAAAGACATTTGTACCTATAGTTTAGGGGAAGGATATCTCTCAAAGTAAGTTAGAAACAATAATGTATTACTCAAGTTCAAACAAGGTGACTAAAGTATATATTCTCATGATGGAATGTAAATAAAGCTGCAATTTTTTAAGAAAATATTATTTGGGCTGCATCAATAAAATATATTTGGAAGGCTACACAGATACTGATAACCTAAGTTGTCCCTGGGGAGGGGACCTGAATGGCTGGGAAACAGGAATGAGAGAGATTTTCCACTGTAAGCCTTATTGTACCTTTGAATTTTGAACATGTGAGTAAATTACCTAATAAACAAAAAACATATTTCAAAGACTGCATCTGCAGAGGTGTGATTATCAACATAGACTTTTAAAAAAGGAAGCCTGAGTGGCCAACCTATCAGAGTCTGTTCATCCAGCTCTACCTAAGGATGGAATCAGAATATTCTGGCCTCTGGAAAGGTTAAACCTATTGAGGACAAGAATAATTCTGTGGGTTTTATGAAATCTCCCTCAAAACTATTCACCTGCTCTAACTTGCGAGCTCACTAAGCTCATCCCTGGGAACCTTGGCATGGGGGAGTTACCCTGCAGGCTGAGCACAAGTAAGTGATCTGATAGCTGGAAAGATGAAGATCTCATTGTAAAATATTAAATCAGTATTCTGCCGGGCGCAGTGGTTCATGCCTGTAATCTCAGCACTCTGGGCAGCTGAGATGGGTGGATCACCTGAGGTCAGAAGTTTGAGACCAGCCTGGCAAACATGGCGAAACCCCGTCTCTACTAAAAATACAAAAATTAGCCAGGTGTGTTGTTGCACACCTGTAATCCCAGTTACTTGGGAAGCTGAGGCAGGAGAATTGCTTGAACCCATCTGAGACCAGCCTGGCAAATATGGCAAAACCCTGTCTCTACTAAAAATACAAAAATTAGCCAGGTGTGTTGGTGTAATCCCAGCTACGCGGGAGGTTGAGGCAGGAGAATTGCTTGAACCCAGGAGGTGGAGGTTGCAGTGAGCCGAGATCATACCACTGCACTCCAGCCTAGGCAACAGGAGAGAAACTCTGTCTCAAAAATATTAGTAGTAGTAATAATAATAATAATAATAAATATTCTAGCTTATCCCTCAGAGTCTAGTAAGTTCTAGCTCAGTTCTTGCTTCCTAATTATGTTTCCCTTCTTAATGTTCTCTTTTTTCCGCCTACCTAGTCGATTCTGGGTAAACTGATGGAATTTACTTTCTAAATCTGAAATCCTGTGGGACTGGCCTGATCCCACAATAGCCTGTGTTCCACTAGCCCACAGTACCTATCACACTGCCCTAGAATTGCCTGCTTATATGTCTGTCTCTCACTGGGCTGTTGGCTCCTTAAGGACAGGGAGTCTGTTTTATCCACCAGTATATCCCTAGCACAGTGCCTGACACAGCCAGAGTCCTTAATCAATTGTTCACTGCCACTCTGATGGCCCAGCTAGAATAACCTGAGCTCCCTCTTTGGTACTTTGCAGTCTTTGATTTCAAATGAGTTACAAAATGTTGTGAAGACAGCCTCTGCACTGTCCCGTACAAATCATTTTAGGATTTTTACTAGTTTTGAACAGCTGTGTTATTACTGCTCAGCATCTCCCAATGAGGTAGATTCTTTCATTGGAAGACAACTGCAAAACAGTACCTGCAGCTAAATTAAACGCCAGCTTTCTCCAAGTATTTAAAATAATCTCAGCTTAGGTTAGTATTGAAACTGATAGAGCTTTAAGAAAACTGAGGAAGAAACATCTGAAGTCTGCTCCAAGGAATCTTACTTCTTTTACTTCAGTCTTCAAATACTCTTCTGGAATTTAAAAACAGTAAACACCATTCTCTTTCTTAAGGTTCTGACTAAACTTACAAGCAAAGGCCAACCCATTTGCCAAATTGCTTCATTTTAAAAAAAATTTTTTTTTATTTAATGTAGCCTCACTCTATTGCCCAGGCTGGAGTGCAGTGGCATGATCTCAGCTCACTGCAAGCTCCGCCTCCCGGGTTAAAGCGATTTCCGACTAATTTTTGTATTTTTAGTAGAGATGGGGTTTCACCATATTGGCCAGGCTGGTCTCAAACTCCTGACCTCATGATCTGCCCGCCTCAGCCTCCCAAAGTGCTGGGATTACAGGTGTGAGCCACCATGCCTGGCCGGCTTCAATTAATTTTAAAATCATTTCTACTCTAATAATAATAACTACTATTTACTGAGCAC